AATGAAACATTTGCAAGAAAAGAACCAAGCTCAGAGAACCCCAAGGACTCCACAGTTCACCTCTGAGCTACACATATTCACCTCTATTAGGACGAAGAGTTTCCATCTATGAGACAAAAGTTATTTGGGAATTTGCTCGGTCTAAGAGATCAAGACCATCAAAGGAGGTCTGTCCAGGATAAAGCATGAACTGTTAAATTGCTGGCATTCAAACATTCTTGGCTGTTTCTTAGATACCCAAACTATTTATTCCCACAAAACCCTTCCACTGGAAGACAGTATCGTGTTTACCAGAGTTGGGCAGCTCAGCGTTATATTATCCATAAAACTGAAGGAAACATCTTTCTTTCCAACAGGCTGAAGCTGGAGGGGAAAAGAAACATATGATTATGAAGCTGTTTTTATGTAAGGTCTCATGCAACTATTTGGTTTACTTTTTTCACGGATTTTCTGTAGTAAGAAAAAGAGAGAAGAAGAAATGGGCAAACATAAAGGTTACAAATGGAGTATCTTCTTGCAGGATATCCCATAAAATTCTGAGAACAAAACAGAACAGTTACCCAATTCAAGCTTCATCTAAGACTGGATTAGAAAAAGAAGTCCAGTCTTAATAGGGATGGACAGAAAATTATAATCCTTGGCACTGGCATTCAATCAGCTTTACCAGTCTTGAGGTACAAGTTATCAACCTACTACCAGAAATGAAAATAGGATTTTTGATAGGAATACACACACTGTCCAAATAAAACAATATAGGCATTTCACAAAAGGATTATACCCGTGAAGTAGGTGCCTCACCATATTGTTCCAGAGAGCTCTGGAAAGTTGGGAATGCGATTTTTGACTAAAGTGAAAACAGTCTGGTGCAAAGAAGGAGATATCTGGACGCCCACCCTGGAAATGAAGAAAGCATAGTTATTGTTATGTTTTTAAAGATGCAAAAACTACAAAGCTGAACAAGACCCATATTCATTTTTTTTCAAAGAGAACTAGCTTTTTAACATACACACTTTATCCTACCTGTGTCATAATCCAGAGTCATTCAATGAAGCGAATAGCAAGAGATTCAGACTGACGAAAGTCTGCAGTTTACAGAGTCAAACTATGGAATTCCTGACCACAAGGAGTACTGATGGACCCCAACTTGAATAGTTTTAATAGAGGATTAGGCAAACTCATGGAAGATACTGGTTAACCTGACAGAGTGGTAGGCAGTTGGCCTCTGAGTACCAGTGTTTATAGGAGTGATATTGCAATCATGTCCTGCTTATGGGTTTTCAATAGGCCCTGGAATGAGCACTATGGGAACAGTATTAGATAAGTCATTGGTCTGATCCACTAGAGATTTAAAAGGTGAAAAGTCTTCAGATCTCAAAGCACTAAAGATGCTCAGTTTGCTGAAAATGAACATTCCCTTAAACCTAATATAAATGTTGCAATGCATGTGTTCTTTATCGTCAGGATTGGCTGCATTCCCTAATCTACACAATTTAATGGATTTTAGTGTGAACTCTTTCAAGCAAGTTTGAATTTTGGCTTTTATGGAATAGATTTTCTTTTTCTTTTCTTTTTTTCTTATTTCTTGAAAACTAAACATTTTAAAAGCAGTCACTTAAAGTCTACAAAAATTACAAAGTATAAATCAAGAGGGTATTCAACACAGTACAAAATCCTGTCACATGCATAAATTATTAAAGCACATTATGCAAGCGAAGAAATAGTTACATAATATGAAAAAATAGACCTTGTTGAAATTATTCTAAATATGCATGATATACATGGTAAAAATATAACGTGCCTATCAATCAAACTCATAACAGGACAGCATTTTATTTCTATTGATATGCTATCAGTCTTGTTTGTTCAGTGTTGATATATCTATTCTCAATTCTAAGTAAGAAACGCAGAATCTGGCTTAGTATAAGTGATGCTAGGAATCTATGCTGTGAATTTCAGTCCACAAATATGGTTTTAAAAAAGTAGGAAATGGATCCAAAGCACACTAGATATTCAACTATTTCAGAGAACAGCCATCTATGGGATTCTGCTGGGATTATGTTATGAATGATTCGTGAGTTTGCACTGTAGGAATGGCTAATATGTAGGAAACTCTTCTACAGATCAGGTCTGTTTCTACAGGCCATTTTCCGTTATTTATGGTTGAAGCATGATTTTGTAAAGAATGTTTCCCAGAGTGTGTGATGAAATCCAAACACATCGCAATAATTTTACATTCACATTTTCAAGATCTCATAAATATTTGCATCCACATTAAATTATTTTAACCTCACACAATGTCTTTGTGGGAAGATAGGAAATAGGAACATTATATACACCACCTTGAGTTGTACAAAATGAAGGTGGGATATTGTTATTGCTGTTGTTACTGGTATTATTATTTTGTACCCCACATTGGGAGTATTGTTCTTGTAATAAGGCGCAGAACATTTGTAAAATAATAAATGTAAATCTAGGACGTACCTGTAAAATAGGTAATGAAATAGTTTGGAGGAATGGCTGTAGTACAACTGTAAAATCTTCTTGACTGTCATACCTGTGACTCTTCATTAGTTTTTGTATTTCACTCTGTGAAAAAAAATAAATGTCCATCCTTCAGTTCCTTGGCTAATTCAAGAGCTGAAGTCACATCCTTACATTCCCATTACTGATGGCAACAGGAGATCGACCTTTTGCTTTTGATACAAAACAATGATCTAAAAGATTCAGAAACTCTTTTGGATTATAACATGGCATAATGCTGTTGAGGGATATATATTTTGTTTAAAATGCTTGGTAGCTTTAAGTTATGTTGTATGACATTCAGATGTAATATATAATGTTATTGAGAAACAGTGTGACAAGATTGTATAATAGACAATCCACTAAATGGCAATATTGATTCATGGCAGTCCTACCTGATAAGCTTTGATTGCCTCCTGCATCATCACAAGGTCTGATGAACCTTCTTGAATGAGGAGAAGGCAACTGCACTGATCTCTGCGTATGAAAATAAACGAAGAAAAGGCATATATGGAGCAAGCAGAAAATAGACTGATACATCCAGGAAGTAAACACTCAGTTCCTCTAGCAAGGAACTGGATATCCATGTACCTCTTTTCTTCAAAGAAATATGAAGATTTTAGCGGTGCTCTAACCTTAATGATGTATGTGGATAAAATATTATTAAAAATGCAAAAGGTTTCAGCCATAGCCATTTTTATTCCTGGACTCATCCTTTTACCAAGCAAGTGTTGCCAGGAAAGTAATATTCTCACAGAATAAGCACAAAATCTACCTCCCCTCTCTTTCCCCACACACTGAAGACTTTATTGTGTACTACAGCTGCTTTCAATCACTGACTTGTAATCAATGGGGGGGGGGGGAGAGACGGGGGGGGGCAAGTTGCAAAAACAGGCAATTCCCCAAAAGGTATCCCTGCCTTTGGTTCAACACAAGTGACTGAATATCTATTATAAGTGTAAGTCAGGCTCTCAGCTATCATTAGTGATATTTTGCTTGTTCATTGAAATCTAGAGTAGGAAACTTTGATCTCTTTATTTCTGATTGAGGCTGCAATTTCCATAAATTACACAGCAAAAGCACAACAGGAAAGCATCAGCAGATCTGTGGCAATCCAAAATACCCCCCCCCCCCTTTTTTTAAAAATTTTTTTTTTACTTTCCCCATTTTATATTTTTTTGGTTTTATTGTTTCTTATAAAAAA